GTTTTTATTACAATTCTTTTAAAAATAATGCAATTATATAACATAACCTATTTTCGATGTTTTTGAATACTTCAAGATTTTCACCAGTCATTTTAAATATAATTTAACGTATTACATGAGAATAATAATTATTAATAAAATATAATTGTAGATATTTCAACTGTTAAACATTATAACAAACTAAATCGTGTTTAAAAATAATGAATCTGTTTTTAATCGTCGCCATTTGTGTGAACAGTAGCATTTTTTCTTAATAATCTAGAAGTACGAAAAAAGAAAAAGATTTCCTTAATATATACCCCGATCTTTTAATTCCAACATTATCATTAACTGTAATCATCCCTATTTTAAATTCGTAGAAATATCTTCTTTTAATCTTTTTATTCTTTTCCATCCTAATAATTTTAATCGCAAGATATTCTCACACATTGCATTTTTATCTAAAATTACCTGTAAAGGAGCTTAACCCCGTGATACTCGATTACTTGAAAAGTAATTTCGATGTGACATTAGTCGAATAAAAAGAATCCAATGTGAAGGTTAAAAATAAAAGAAGATGAAATGGAAGGATAAAAAAAGGAAAAAAAAATAGTAGAAGAAGAAGAAGAAGAAGAAGAAGAAGTGATATGTTAGGAAGGTTGAAATACGGTGTGGGAGTGAGGGGGAGGGGGAGAGGGAAGGGAAAGGGAACGGGAATAAGGGCGGGGTGGAGGTGGGGGTTGAAAAACGAGCCGAATAAAGTCGAAAGTAAAAAGAGAGAAGTAAAACGTGACGACATAGACATCTTACGAATTAAGCCTTGATAGTATCGAAGCAACGCCGCCGATTGGCTCCAATTTCCAAGCGTGCAATTCCCCCGTACCAATAGATTGCTTCTTGGGTCGTTTAGTTCAGCCTAATTTTATAGCCGCTCGGATAAAAAACTTTACTTTTACGGTATTAAAAGAAAAAAAAAAAGAAAAAAAGAAAAAAAAAGGAACAAAAACCACATCGATTTTCGTAATACGAAATAAAATGTTAAAAGGAAGGAAAGAAAGAAAGAAAAAAATAATGTATATATATATATATGTTACCGTCCAAGCTGGAAATTAGTCATTGTTAGTAATTCCATTAGGCATTATTATGAATGCAAAGAGCCTTAAGACGAAGTCGGAAATTGAAAAATTCTTACAGTTTTTCTTAGGTATCAAACATAATACTTTGATATCCTATAGAATATCAAACATTATAATTATATATTATTTTTTTTCTGTTTTTTCTTTTCTTCTTTTAACAATATAAAATGAAATTGTAGTTCAGCGTTCATTCGTTTCAAATTATATTTTTTATAATTGTTATTTGAAGCAAGCGAATAAATAATTTCAACATCGAATGGCGCATCTGAAATAAAAAAAAAAAAATATAAAATAAAAAAATAATTGTAATTTTATACTTATATTTTATATTTTTTATATTAAATAATAATACATTTTATTTGGTTGTTTTTTCTTATGAAACATTTAGAAATTTCCATCAATTCTTCTCGAGGCAAATGAATATTTTTTAACGTAGTATACGATGTTTAATCATTTGAAAAAACATTGCGAAACATTGCGGAACGTTAGCATTGTTTGTAAAATACTAAAACGAAAAGTAACAAATTAATGGGAATATAACGAAAGTAACCATACAAACAACTAAACGAAACGAAACGAAACGAAACGAAACGAAACGAAACGAAATTAAAGGGGGAAAGAATATACAGTATTGTAATGTTAAAAAATATTTATTCTMCCTGCCGTTTTTGCCAATTGAAAAAGTCTTTTTTATTTATCCATAACGTCACATATAGATGTAACAGAAATGGTGGTGGAAATGGATTGAAGTAGAGGAGGAGGAGGGGGGGGACGGAGGGAGAGAGATTGGTGGTGGTGACGGTTGACGTTTGAAGGTTTGTTGTATAATTCGTGAAGTGTGGAATGAAGTTAAAATAAACAACAAAAAATATATATATGTAAAGAAGAAGAAAAATGAAGCAACTAACCGAAACCAAGAAAGAGGAAAAAAACCAATCAAAAAATACTAAAACGATAATGATTATAATAAAATAAAAAACAAAATAAAAAAATATCCCCAGGTATAGAGTAAATTTTGTATTTTGCTCGTACACGAAGGTGTATTTTAACAATCATCCAATGGCACATTGGTATTACAAATGAAAAATTCCATTGGAACTTCTTTTTTATTTTTGTTTATTTTTTTTTTGTTTTTTTTTGTGTGTTTCATTATTTCCGGAATTTCGCGTGAAAACCGCCAATGCCGCCGTGGGGGTAGTAGAAAGTGAGAAGAGAACGGATGGATGGATAGAGAGGGTTGATGGGGTGCGAAGGGGGTGTTAAGGGAGAAGGGTGGAAGGTTTGCAGGCGCCATTGTCGCGGTTATTCGGACTTGTTGTGCGGTCGATTCGCGACGAACTGTAGAATCTAGCAGCTTTTCCAAAATGAGAGAGAAAGAACCAAAAAAAAAAATTAGTAGGAAAGAAAGAGAGAGAAGGAGAGATGATAATTGAGTTATACATTTTTAATAAAGGACAATTTAATTTAATTAACTGAATTTTTTAATCTATGTACACGTTTACCATCAAGGATATTATTAGTTCAGATACGATCCGTTTCTTTTTGCTTCAATGATTTTGTTTTTCCTAATTTTTCTGACCAAACTTAAAATTTTAATTACTTAAGTTCCTAATTGTCATACGATCTGTAGACATTTTTCATTCTTTTTTTGTTGGTCTTTTTGTTTAAACGTAGAAAATTATCGAATATTATTTTATCCTAACCTCACTTCTCTTATGGTCTGACTATACTTAATAGTTATTACTACTGAAGTTTTTATTTATTACAATATATATATTATCTTAATCTTTATATTATTAAAGAGAAAATTTAAAAGGAGAATTAGATTAAAATTTTATAATTAATAATAGAATATGATTTAATAGATTTCATTTCTTTTAATATGCACAATAATCGAAGATTATTACTTTTACCATAACCTTACTTTTAAAATCTCTTCCTATAGTCTGACTATACCTAATAGTTACTACTATAGTTCTTGCTTAATACAATATATTATTTCAAGAAAAAAGAAAAAAAAGAAAAGAAAATGAAAGAGAGAATAGGAATAAAATCATAAAATTAACAAAATTCTAAAATTTAGTTTAATAAATGCTTATATTTCCCACACACACACACACACACGTACAATAATCAAAGAAGAATATTACTTTACCATAACCTCACTTTTATAAGATCTTCCTCTATTATCTGATTACTTTTAACATCAATTACTATAATTACACGCAACTAATAAAAAAGAAGAAAAAGAAATAAAAGGGGGAGGAAAAAAAGATGAAAATTACAGGAAAACTGAATGAAAGAAGATGAAGCGATTAAAAATAAAATGAGGATAAAAGCTCGGGTTAGGTGGTAAGGATGGAAAGAACTAATAAAAAAAGAATTAAAAAAAAAAAAATAGGACAATGAATAATAATAATAAGAAGAAGAAGAAGAAAAAGAAGATGAAGAAGAGGTGAAAGTAACGGGGGAAGGGGGGGGGGTAAAAATTTGTAGGGGTAGTAGAAAGAATTTAATTTAGACGAATTCTTTGGTTCGCTTATTACGAGCTTTATTCGAAGCGTGTACGAATAACGTCTCGTCGTTTCACCCCCTTTCCCCTTTTTTTCTCGTAACCGCTGCGACAACCCCACCACGCCCCTTCCACCCTTCCTATCCTCTTTCTTCTTCTTCTTCTTCTCTTTCTCATTCCTCTTCTTAACACCTTTCCTAACTTTATTCTTACTTGTACCATCTCTCTCTCTCTCTCTCTCTCTCTCTCTCTCTCTCTCTCTCTCTCTCTATCATTGTTTCTATGTTCGAAATCAAGTCTTTCTTTAGGTGCGAATCTTGTAACGATCGTTAGTCGAGGAACCGTTCGAAAACGTAGTAAGGGCACCTATCCCAAATTCAAAGGGACACATATACGTCCCTAGTAGCAGCAGCAGCAGCAGCACCAGCCACCGTCGCGTTACCTTATTTGAATTCCAAATTGGATTAGTCATCGGATTTGGATAATTGAGGGGGAATTCTATCTGTTACCTGTCCTGGGTTAACACGGTGGAAAGGATTAAACGAACTGCTGAGAATTTCGAGAGGGATCTATACCCCGACTATCGAAAGTCGTGTCCTTTACCTGTCCCGTATCTTTTAATGATTATAAAGGAAGGACTATTTTTGAAAATCATGAAACTTCAAGTGAACGGATTAATTTGTTTTTTTTTTCTTCTCTTCTATGTGTTTTTATAAGTTTTAAAATATCGTTGTAATTTTTATCGGAATTTTTGTTGTGTGTCTATTTTATTTTTGATAAATTGATTCTCGCTCGTGTTATTAGGGGATGAATAAAAAGAATTATTTTTATTAATTTTTTTTTGTTCACTTTATTTTTTACTTTTATATATATATATATATTATTATATAAATATATTTTTTGGATTTAATTTTTGTTAAATACTTTATGGGATTTTTATCAAATATTATTTTGTCTGATTTCTCTTAGATAGATATTTTATTTAAGATTTATTTGATATTTGATTACTCTACGAGCCCAATTTTACAGGACATTGACGAGGGATGACTTATTAATTGCTGACAATCATGTTTAATTTTGTACTATTGATAATAATATTTTCTAGCTTTTTTTTTCTATTTAGATAGTATTTGATGTGACTCCTATAACAATAGAAAAACACTTCTAATTTATTTCAAATAACTTCAAAACAAAGTATTTCTTTCTAATAGTTTATTTAATAACAGTATATTTTACTACAAACCCTGAAGTATTTTATTATGATAATAATAATAATAATAATAATAATAATAATAATAGTAGTAATAGTAGCAATGGGTAGGAATAAAAGAAAACGTAATAAAAGTAGGAAAATGTGTTTTCATTATTTGCAGCAACAAAGTTGAAGCAAAACAGTGTTGAAAGCGACGACATCGGGCATGAAGTGAACGGTTGTGGCACAGCGTTGGTGCAATATCCAGACAACCTGAATTTTGGCGACCTTTATTACTACATCCTGGCACCCACGCTCTGCTACGAATTAAATTTCCCTAGGACCCAGAGGATACGGAAAAGGTAAATGTAACATCTAGTGGTTTCTATACACTCCTATAAACACACATTCAAATAAATGGTAGATGTTTGTTGTCATCAAAGGTACCATCATCATCATCAGTGCACTAATCATTCATAAATATATTTTATTTAATTTAATCATATATTCGTATAAATCATTTACATATATGATATAATATTAAACTCCTACATTAAATGTACAAATAACAAGAGAGGATTTGTTAATTTAAATATTTAGTTGGAGAAAAAGTTTCTTCAAATTTCGATGCAACACTTTAAACGAACTAAACTATTTCTCTCTCAACCCAATGAAGAGTAGTTACTCTTCCTAGTTTTCCTTTATTTAATTAGTTAACTGAAAATTTGTTAAATTCGTTATACCAAATTCCAAAAATTAAATGTAACCTCACTAATAATGATTTATCGAATTAAATATTAGATCGGGTAAAAAGTTTCTTCGTATATTTCGATGCAACATTTAAAACGAAATAACTTTTTTTTCCCCAATTATAAGTGAGTTCACCCTTTCCCCCTGTTCCCCCCATCCCCAATTTTTCACAAATTCTATTATTTAACAGAAATTTCTTAAAATTCGTTATTTTTCTTGTTGTATATATTTGTTTATAGAAAAATAGATAATATTCGATAGAGAAAGTAGTTGCTTTACTTTACTTGAAATATAATTTTTGTAGTTGGTACTATTACTACACAACTTGTGACTATACTACCTTGAAAAAATTTCTTTTCGTTCTACGCTTTGCTCCCACTTCTTTTCTCGTCGATCGAACTACGTTTTCCTACGGGAATCCACTTCGTCTGTTTTCTTTTTCTCTATTCCTTCTTCTACTTTCTTTCCTTTTCTTTTCTTTTCTTTTTCCGAAGCACATGAATCGGCACGTATAGTTTCTACTGAGTTTGCCTCCTGTTTCTCTATCCATCTATGTTATATACCTATATATATATATATATATATATATATATATATACTTGATATATACATCAAGTTTTTTTATTTTTTTTTTTATTTCTAACATACTATATTCCTTTTTAAAGTGTACGATAGTGAAAGAAGAAAGTCACTAAAGTGTATGTGTTGTTTGTTGTATATGTGGTTTTTAGTTTATGTTTGTGTGGTGGTGGTGTATAAGTGAGAAAAAGAAAGGTAGAATGAAAGAAAGAGGATAGGATTCGTGAAATTAGATTTAAGTGGGCTATTGTTGAGAAAATAGAAGAAAGAGGATACGCTTATTTTAGATGGACTTCGTTTCTGAACATAGTGATGTATTCCTTTTCTTGTTACAAACATAAAAATATTCTTGAACATTTTCATTTGATGTATTTATTATTAATCATGTGTGTGGGGATTTTCTTAGGAAGATTATTAATAATATAGCTCAAATAATAATAATAATTATTCAAATAATTAATGTATACATAGAATATCGTAATTTGTTATTCACAATTTTGAATAAAATATTGACCTATAAATAATTAATAACAATCAATTCGAAAATTCTCGTCAAATTTATTATTACAATTCAGGAGTTGTTTTTTTTTTTTAAATGAACGCGAAAAAAATAATAAACAAAAATTTCTTCGCGCTACGCGAACGATTATAAAAAATAATTTACAAATATTTCGAATATAAAAAGAGAGAAAATAAATATCAATCGTGTTAAAAATATTATTACAAAATGTAAAAATATGTACAACGAGAAACAAAAAAACAAAAAGAAAATTGGAACTTTACTCATATAAATGAACAATTGGCACGAATTAACGGGAAATGATTTTCCTATATAAAATGGCTTTCGTTGGACGCATATATACGCCCATATCATATTCAAAGGCTTTAAAATAATGAATAAACCTGTCTTAAGTGAAATCGGACAGGTTGAACAAAATTTGTTTAGAACGTTTAATTTGATCTCCCTTCAACGTTTCGTTCCCTTTATTAAGATTTTTTCAACAACTTAACAATTTTTTCAACCTATCCAATTTCTCCCTTAAGACACACGTTTATTAATAATTATATTTTTCTACGTGATAAACAAATAATTGACTTAAAATAATATTTAATCGATGCAGTAATTCGCGTAAATCCTAAAAACAAAAATAAAACGAAACAAAACGATATACGAGACAAGATGAAAAAAAAAGAAAAGAAAAGAAGAGAACAGTGGGAAAATTAAAAGAAAGAAACAAACAAAGAAACAAAAAAAAAAATAGAACGAGTGCAAGTAGATAAGCGACTTTTAACCTTAGGAAACAAAATGAAATAACGAAAAAGTATTTTTTGGTACAACGGTCACGATATTTAATAGATATCATAGAATCAAATTACGACTAGCGTCTCGTCGTTGACCGTTATGGGGGTTGGGTGGTGGTGGTGATGGTGAGGAAGGGTAAGGGGTGCTTTCGTTTGGATAAAATTTCCTGGAATTCATTCGTATGCTCGACACAATAGTAATAAAAGCTGGAAACACAGAAGCATGACGGGGGACATCGAGTTCGGGAGATAAAAAAAAAACGGGGKGGGGGGAGGGTGGTAGACGTTTGCCAGGGTGAAATTGAACGGTGGCGTGTACACGCGCCCGTCTACGCGTTATTCAAAATAATAACGACACGTTGTATCAACGTGTATGTGAATATGTGTATGAGAAAGAGCGAGAGAGAGAGAAACGGTATTGGCTTTCCACTCGTTGTATCTACGATATTGTTTGCGTATGTATTCTTTTTATTTCTTTTTTTTTTTCCTTTTTTTTTATTCTTTCATCCCTGTGTGTATGTTTCGTGTGTATTTTTTTGATATATATTTTTCCTTCCTACTTTTATCGCGTGTGTTTGTATGTTTTTGTATACGTGTGTATGTGTATCATATATATGTGGTTTTTATTTATTTATTTATTTATTTATTTATTTATTCAATTTAGGTTAATTTTACTCTGTTTTTTTTGTTTCTGATCTTCTTAGGCGTTAATTTTTGGTCATTGTTGTTTTATTATTATTCCGTAGGTTTTTGATAAAACGCATCTTGGAGGTGGTCGTTGGTTGTCAAGTAGTAATGTCATTGTTTCAACAATGGATGGTACCTTCCGTGAAGAATTCGCTAATACCCTTCAGTGTGAGTAACTTTTTACTTTTTTTTCTTCTTTATCTTAAATATATTTGACCAATTTCAAATTGATTTTTAATAAAGGGGTTTGATAAGTATCTTTTTTTTTTTTATACAATGCATATGATACTTTTTATTTAGAATATAATCTAAGATTTTTAAAGTAAGAGAATTTTCGTATTTCCAAAATTGTTCAAATGTTATATTATTTTTAAATATATATATATTTTTTAATATTACAATGGTAGAACAAAAAGTATTTAAACAAAATTCAATATAAACACATTCTATATATTATGTATTAAAATTATTTTGTTTAAAATGATTCATAGTGTTTCATTTATTTTAAAAAATATTGCAATAAGGGAACAAAAATAATACACACATGTAGAATTAATTTCTTTTCTTTTTTAATTTATACACACAACTATTAACAACAGACACACGTGTAAGGGTTAAACGAATACGTATAAACATTTATCTTAGATATTAATAAATATAATTTATTATTTAACCACAATATAAAAAAAAAAAAAGGCTAAAACAAGAAACAAAAGAAAAACTAGGGGTGGATATGATAGTAGGAAATAAATCCGAATATTTTATTCGACGTCCGAAAAAAATCAGCGACGCGGGACGTGATTTTAAAAGTCACGTGAATTCCAAGCACGGTCTAAACAACGGATCCCGGGGATCATCAAAGAACTTTATTGGAACGCTTCGGTGCAATTTTTTTTTCCCCCACCACCCCCACCTCCAGCCCGCTCCCTACCTTTTTTATTTTCCTTTGTGTGTGTGTGTGTGTGTGTTTTTTTTTTTATTTCTCCTGCCCCTTCCCTTATTTTTTTACTACTTTCTTTCTTTCATTTCTATCTTCTTTTTGTTCTTTTTCCTCTTCCTTCTTCTTTTTTTTTCTTTTTCATCCCGATTGGATCGAACCGTTGAAATAGAGAAAGAAAAAAAAAAGAGAGAGAGAGAGAGAAGATACGCCGAAAAATAAAAGCAAACAAATGACGCTCGGGGTAAAATGAAAAATCGTACAAAGTAGGTGGTTGATGGGGTGGTGAGGAGAAGGGGGAAGGGTTTAAGTTGGTGAATTTGTGAAATATTCGAATCATATTTTATATATTCTCTTTTGTATTATCTTTTATTAAAGGATATGGGGGGAGGGTTTACTTATTTACCCATTTTAACAGTTGGGAAGTAAGTTAATGATATAACCTGGATGTGTTCGGATTGTAATTTAATTAATTATCGGTTCAACGATATAATACCATAGTATATACATTCATATATATATATATATATATATATATATATATATATATACTTGCGAAATTCCAACGTCGTCGACATACCTGAAAACTCTGAAGCTAAATAAAGTAAAAAAAAGTCGGNTATATATATGTTGAGATGTATATGTAGATATTATGATGGTTGTTATGTAGGATGATTAATTATTCAGTATTCATAAACGATTCTAGTAAACTGGTTTGACCTAAACTAGACAGGAAACATAATGCTCTACTGATGTTTGTATTCCATTAATTAGGATCAAATCTTGTTTTTTTCCTTCATTCCTTATTATATTATTTTTTAATTAAATTATAATAGAGAATATATATATTAATAATTATTTAATGTTCATTAATGATTCGTGTTATTTGGTTAGATCTAAACCAGATAAAGAATTTATTAAAAATAGGGTTGTCATGTTACACCTATTGGGGTTAACCTTATTTTGTATTATTATTTTTATTATTTTTATATTTAATTACATTTTTTTGTTTCCATTTATATTATTATTTATATTACTCCTGTTAATTATAATCAACTGAATTAGATTTAACCAAAGCAAGAAACATGAAACTTCATTGCTGTGTATGTTCAATCTATTGGGTTCATATTTTACTTTTATTATTATCATTATAGTTTAATAAACTTGGTATTTTTTCTATTTATATTAATTAAGTATTCAGTACAATCATAAATGATTCAAATCAATTGATTAAACTTAACCCCATAGACAGATTTTACACAGGGTAATCAAAATATCGTACGTAATTTATTAAATCAAGTTTCAACTGTTTTCAATTATAATTTTTCTCTATCGTTGTTTTTCATTCCCATTTGTTTTCTATTATTTTCACTTTTACAATGGTTACCTAGAAAATTGGATAACGCCTTTCGTAGGATTCGATAACGATAGAATCGGTTATACGTGATACGCGTTGGACTACTGGCCCGGACCCGGTACACTCCTCTTCTCTTCTCTTCTCTTTCTATCTCTTTCTCTTTCTCTTTCACTTTACCGATAGAAATTCCTGTGAACGAGGATTCGTGGGATTCGTGGATTTAAACGGAACCTTTTACGTGGACGGATTTAACCACTGCTGATCCGCGGTGATCGTTCGTGGTTCACCGTACGTACCCATATTGCGTACATAATGTGGTTGAAAACGTGTACATGGAACCCGGAGTCAGAATCCTCTTTCGATGTGTCAGTATATAGATATGAATATGTGTTGGTGCGTATGTGTACGCGCTACTTTGCAAACGTATACGTAAATCGATATTATTTAATCGAGAAATATATTTTTTTTTAACCTCGTGACATTTGACCCAAATATATATTTTTCTTTATTTCTCAGAACTTCCCCTCCCACCCCCCTCCGTCTCTGTCACCGTTACCGCAGTTCTGATTTTTTTTTATTTTTTATTTTTATACTGTCATTGTTTTTTTTTCTTCCTTAAAACGATTCGTTTGAAATGATTTCGAGTGAAATGTTTTAATATTCATTTTTTTTTTCTTTTTTCTTTTTTTTTTTTCAGTGCGAACGAGAAAAGAACGAAAGGGAAAGTTTTTGGGTAGGTGTTTTTGTATTATAAAAAGGAAATGAGAAATATAATAGTTCATTTTGACGTTTTTAGTTTTAATTGTTTAACGTTCGTGATCGTTATATCGTTTATAATCCAACAGGGATTGGAAATATTTAGTAATTGGATTGTTACATTGATGAAATCGTAGTTGCTTATATATGTGGTTATATTTGAGTTATTGTAGAGTTGAGTTTAATTATTTGGATAATAGGTGAATAAAGGTGTATTGTTTTTTTCGTTGATTGTGTGTGTGAGTATTTAAAATGTTCTTTTTGTTTTTTTTTCTTTTGGTGTGAATTATTGAAGATTTATTTTATTAAATACATGTTATTTTGGTAATGAATTGTTACATAGGAATACTTTCATTTATTTGAAGCTTAAAATATTATATAATGTTTTTATATATATAGTTATTATTTATTATTGTAATTAATAATTGTAGATATTACTTAATATAGTGTAATACGAAATATTATTTTAATTACTATAAAATATTATTT